AGTTAAAGCAAAACGAATCAGTGGCGCAAATGCTTCGTCACCATCCAAAACCCAAACCGGTAACGTGACACTTTCACCGGGCGCAACACCTGCACCTAAAAAAATACACAATGTGCTATGTTTTAAATGCTGAAATAATACCACAGTGAAATACTTGGATGAGCTGCTAATTCAGATCATGATCTGATTCGTCCCAATCACTGGGGCTAGAAAATCAAATTCGTGATCTGATTTGCACACGACTTAATGGACCGAAACATTTCTTACCATTATAATTCATTTTATTAAAATGATTTCACAACTTTTGCAAATTTCTTAATATTATTTGTAAACTACACAACGTGCTATGTTCTAAATGCTCAAATAATACCACAGTGAAATACTTGGATGAGCTGTTAATTCAGATCATGATCTGATTCGCCCCAATCACTGGGGCTAGAAAATCCAATTCGCGATCTGATTTGTATACAACTTAATGGACCGAAACATTTCTTATCATTATAATAATTTTATTAAAATAATTTTACAACTTTTACTAATTGCTTAATATTATTTGTAAACTACACAACGTGCTATGTTCTAAATGCACAAATATTACCACAGTGAAATACTTGGATGAGCTGCTAATTCAGATCATGATCTGATTCGCCCCAATCACTGGGGCTAGAAAATCCAATTCGTGGTCTGATTTGTACATAACTTAATGGACCGAAACATTTCTTACCATTATAAAAATTTTATTAAAATAAATTTTACAACTTTTACTAATTTCTTAATATTATTTGTTTTTGTCTTCTTCTTCCAACTTTAAAATATTTTCCTATCGGCAATCATGTAGCTAAGTGGTTTTTTCACTGCTGCATCGCCTGGTGGTCAGTTTGTGTTGGCGATTCTGATGTTCGTTTCGCTTCCAGAAGATTCGGAGTAAAATTTAAAAATTTGAAAAAAAAAACAACCAACTGTCAAGAATGCGTGCAAGTTGTATGAAAATTTCAGAATTTTCCAGTTCCCTTATTTTCCTTGTACCTGCTACTGTGCCTAAATAGTGTCGAAGAATTTGCAAACTCTTTAGCGTTTTTAAAAAAGAATTATTGTTATTGTAAGAGGTGTATGCTTGGAAAATCAGTTTAGCAACGCATTTTTCTTCCTCTGCATATTCTCCATAAGTAAAGAAAAGAGAAAACGCATTGAGAAAAAACACTGTTAAATCAAAAACAAAGTGGAAAAGAGCAATGACAGTCAAAGCTTGATTTTTAGTTGTTATACAGTTTTATTTTTTCTTTCTTCCCTTTTCACCGCTAATGTTCCTCACTACTATTATCATTGTTGTTATTATTATTACCATCATCATCAGCATTATTATTATCATTATTATTGCCATTGTTGTCATCATTACTATTACCACTAATATTATTATCATTACCACTACTATCATTATCATTATTATTATCATCACAACCACTATCATTGTTATAATTATGATTATAATTGCTGTTATTATTGTCATTACCGCTGTCACTGTTATTATTATCGTTATTACCGATACTATTACCATCGCCATCATCATTATTATTATCGCCGACATAAATTCTCTCTACTATGATTGTTCCTCTAAATTTGTTTTTTTTTAACTTTTTCAATTTAGCATTTAATAAGTTTTCCATTACATCCCATTCATAGTACACAGCCGAAAATTATGCAAGCCGGGAGTATCGAAGTAACAACCTGCGAGAATAAATGCCAATCCGCATGTATGTTTACCCAAGTACTCCTAATCGGCGAGGTAACACTTATTAGAGCTTGGAAGTGAAAAAACCCGAGACGAAATGGTTATGATGATCAACATACACACACATACACACGCACATACACACGCACACACACGCACACACACACACACACACACACACACACACGCACACACACACATCTCCAGATGACTAAAGCTTCCTACCAGGGGCTTGTCACATAATATTTCACATAATGATTTATGGCTTTTCAAGTTAAAAACTGCGTGAGGAGCAACGCTGCATCAAAATTTAAAGTATTATACAGCAAACTTTTACCAGAGGAACTACTGGGGTGATAACTCCCGAAGGTCAAAATCGCTAGCAAACCTACCACCGGGCAATGCAGCATTGGTCAAAGCAACTGGAAAAGTTACCAAATGCACAGTTTTTAAAAAGAATGGCGCTATAAATTATGGCTGATGAAAGTATCAAAAAGTATTGAAGCCAAATTTAACATGTGTTAAATTTTGTAAAATTTGTTGAATTTTAAATTAAATTTTCTGTTAAATTCTAAACGCATGCATGCCCGTTGTTTTTTGTGGGAATTATAACTATAAAAGACGTACGAAGAAATGGTGGTATTCCTTTGCACATACCTGCCGTAGCAAGCTGATAAGCATAGCTCGCATCTCTGTAATCCGTATGTACGTTCAAAAAGTGATACTCAAGCGCCGAACTACGACCAGCCGCCAATTCGCGTTTATCAAGCCGATTGAGCAGATAGCTTTTACCACTCTGGCGATTCCCTGCAGAAAGAATTAATGGTAGGTTTTAGAATCACTTCATTTTTATGCGTTTTTTGCAGCTATGCAATGCGAAAAACGCATATTGACGAGGGGTGGGAGGGTGTTCCCCGTCCAAGTGGGTATTAGTGAGCTCCAACTCAGCCCTCGGGTAAGCGTGGTACCGCGTACGGGACCGCCAAAGTTTCTTTCGGGGG